GAAACTTATCTTTAATGGTTTTCGAATTCAGTGAACGATAATCAACACACATGCGAAACTCACCGTTTTTCTTTTTTACTAAAAGGAATATAAGGTGAATCCGATTCCCCTATAATGCCATTACATAGAAGATCATCAACCATATCTATATATATAAACGTGAAATTCACTCACTCACTGACTGACTGATTAAACACGAAATCTCGAAAACTACTGAACCAATCGAGATGAAATTTTGCAAACAGGTAGGTAATAGGTTGGAGATGCTCACTAGGAAATAATATCAACATGGCCTTAAGTAATCGCCTTAAATAACCAAAAATAAGAAACGGTGTGGTGCGGGAGTGCGAGGAAAAAAGTGTAAACAGAAACAGACGACGTGTCGGCTGTCAAATTCAGAAATATGACAAGCAGAATCAAATTCATAGCAATTTCCATTTGCAGAATCAGTGCAAAAAAATTTTTGTTTTTGTCGTTATATTTTCATGCTTTCACCAGAAACGTTTCGAAACCGATTCTGAACAAATTCCACCGGTCCCAGGCTAAGCTAACTTCAAGTTTGAGACATGACATTGGCAATTCGTTCACGTATTCGACAGTCTGGAGCAAGGTTCTGGAGTTTTTGTTCGGTTCCAAAACTGTTCGCGATAAAATAAGGAACCTGAACCCATTCACAAGTTGGGTTCGGGTTGCTCACTCCGAGTTATTCCGATTGCACTCCAGTCGTTATCTGATAAGCTATAAGGTAATACCCGAACGGCTGAAGTGCGAACGGAATCACTCGGAGTACACGGAGTGAGCAAGCCGAACCCAGCTATAACTGGACATGCGCTCTACGATAGTCCTCAATTAGTTCCGGACTGGTTCGGAATCGGTTCAAAATATGATCCACGAACAAAGCTATTAGCAGCGAGTGGCACTTCAAAAAAATTTAACGTCAGCTGTCAAAAAATAGTCTTCATATTCTGCAGCCACAAAGCAGAACAAAAAATGTGGTTTACAGAGAGGTGCTGCAAAAATAAGAGTTACATGACCATATGTCTGACGCAACTATCCCCTTAGCTCTTTAAAAGAAGATTACCTAATGCTACCTATACACTGTACCTACAAAATTTGTATAGGGCGTGCAAAGCCGCGGGCAACAGCTAGTCTCTTATACAACTTTCCGTTCAAACGATATGGTCGGTAAACTACTGGACTATCGTGAACGCCTACTATAAAATATAGCGGATTTAATTAAAATAGAGTAGGTATACAGGGTGGCCCAATTTGGGCACTTCTAAAAACGACAATTTCTGAACAACATACGAAAAAAATGAACCCCTACTCTATGAGGCCTCAATTTCATGAAATCTTCACTGGTGCAGATTCTGCATTTTGCGTAAGTGCATTTACGTAAAGTTTATATAAAATTGAGAAATTTTTTTTACCACATTGATTTCATGTGAAATTGAATGTCAATTTTATGTAAGTACCTACTATGTAAACTAATGGCGTTTCCGATTGGTAGATCTAGTGCGGAACTAGTGCAATTTTTTCTATTCCTGTCTTTTTCTTCTACAAGTTGATTAAAAGGATGCAAATACACTCAGTGCGCACTGAATCTACCAATCGGAAACGCCATAAAAGTTTGTAACTGGTAACTGTTTATACAGGGTGGGGACTTTAACTGGAACTAACTCGCTAGAGCGTTCGGATAAAATATGTGGACGAAACGCAAAAACACGTTGATTAAGATTTTTTGCTTCAGATTTTTTCACATTAATTTTTTTATACAGCGTGTTACAAGAACAGCTGTTTGGTTATCAACTTTATTTTTTTAAATGGTAGCTCCTGTATATTATGACATTTTTGGATTCTGTGGAAAAATCCAGACATATTTCATTTACAATGTCATATACCTATCTTCAACTGTTTCAGAAATATTGACAGTTGAAAATTGACTTTTTTGCAACTTTGACAGGCTGAAAAACCTAAACGGTTAATTTTACAGCAAAATCGATCATACTCTAGCGAATAAGTTCCAGTTAAAGTCCCCACCCTGTATATAATGTTTACCTGAAATATTGAAGATGAGCTTACATAACTGAATTATGATGAATTATCAGGCTGTGTGCCTGAAGATTACACTTGTGTTTAAAGAGGGTGTAACCTAAAAATACAACTTGTATTCAGAAAAAAAATAAAAAAAAATCCAAGAAATCTTGTGAAAATCTCGCATCGCTACTCAAAATAATAAGGTAGATACGCCTAAATAAAGTTTTGTCTATTCATCGCATGACGTTATAAACACACGCAAAAATTGTAAGACTGACTTAAATTGACTCGAAGACAGTGAACTAAACAAACACACTGGAACGGTGGCTGCATAATGTTTTTAACGCAAGGTTTTGTGTCAGGAAGGACAACAAACAAGTGGGATTTGCATCTCTCTCTGCACTATGGCGGCTATTGAGAACAGCTGTTTGAAGTGTTTAGATCATTGAGGTTAGGAAGATGAAGAAGCTCTTCTTTCTTTTACGTTAATCGTAATGAGTGCGAGCGAGACAACAATCCCACCGTATTGTTGGGTTGCATATATCAAAATTCGGCACACTAGCATAAAGCAGTGCGCCCGTTCCAGAGTGTGTTTAGTTCAGTGCTCGAAGATAGGTATGAGAACGCATAAACAATACGATAACATATGCAGCAACCATGAGCAAACGCGCGCCTAGCGCCAATTAGCGGATTCAGTTTGTGCATGTGACGTCACAGCGCTGGGAGTGGAAACTTATACCACGGTATCTTCGCAACGGTTGGTCGTAGCCTAGTGCGGTTTGAAAATTTGTTATTAGATTTTTTTTTATAAAACTTTTATTTTTGGGTCATTCCCTTGGCATAGACTGGGTTAACTTTGGGAGAACTATCATGCTGATAGTAGAACGTACTTTTGAATCGTGATGTAATATAAGTATCTATTGACCATTTCGAGATCTTTGGATCTCCATCTTCCACGCCACGCCAGATATCTCAGCTCTAATAAGACGTCAGGGAAGCCCTCTAAGCGTTGTGCTGCTTCTTCGGTGATAAAGGATGATTGTGATCCTTGGTCAATCAAGATTCTTAAAGGCTGTGGCGAACGGCTGCAAATATTACATTTTGTTTGGCTGTAGCATTTCTTCTGAACATTGTGGCTTAAACAATTCTGGCAGATGTGCTTTTCTTGCACCCATTTGCCTCTCTCTCTCGTGGTGACATGGGCTTCAAACTTTTGGCAGTGGTAGGTCATATGATTTTGGTCGTGACAGTATACAAGAACTTTGACTGACTAGATTTGTTTTCCGTGGTTTCTAATGTTTGGAACCTCCAATTGATAAATTCTTCGAAATCTGGTACGTCATGCGGTGCTTGAAGACTCTGTTCATATAGATGCGGTTGGTCTGAGAGACTCATTTCCGGATGATTATGCGAATCACCATGGGCCTCCATGTATCAGTTTCTATGTCAAGATTCTTTAAGGCTTGCAGTTACCCGCTAGTTGCATTTTCTTCGGGAACAGTTGGCAAGTCCAATAATTTATCGAAAAGCTTGAAGATGAGTTGTCTCTTGTTTTTGAATACTGCATTTATTCGGCTTTAGTCAGCACGTGACTCTCATGGATTACTCTTCTAAAAAGATCGTAAAATGTGGACCAATACTCGTATCCTCCCCTCCATGGAATGTGGGAATCGGAATCTTGGAAATTGCTAGATGTTGATGCTGTTGATTCACCATTATTTGAGCGACTGGAGTAAGTGCCTCTTCGCCCTCTTCTTGTATTTTGATAGTTAGTTTTTCAGTGATCTTCGTACTGCTGCTGCATTTCATTGTATGGATTAATAGTGAAGTATTCTTTCTGAAATATATCTTCAAATATTTCTTCAGCCTGCTCTGGAATTCCACATTTCTTGAATTTTTTTCCATAGTTTTTCTAATGTAGCAGTGTGATCGTCAATGTATGTTTCAGTTTTTCTCGACGCAGAATCTTTCTTGGCTTTGCATTCCCAGATTGTATTGCTCATTGGCTAGTTCGTTATTGAGTATTTCTTCAGCTGATATCACTGATATCACTGACGTGATTGGTAGCTCTAAACTGTGGACGGACTTTTTTACTGGACGGACGGAAAACGTAGTTCTCTCTTGGGTTCTTACGAATAGGCGGATTGTGTAGACGGAATTTCTTTGGCCGAACGGCTGTTTGATCGGACAGACGTTTGGTCGAACGGTCGTTTGATGGAAGACTTTTACTTCTCCTGGACGGAGGTTGATTTCTGTTTGGATGACTATGTGGACGAACTGTTGTGTGGACGGATTGACGTATGGTTGGACGGATATTTAGTCGGACGCACTGTGGTGTTGACGGATTGACGTATAGTCGGACCGAAGTTTGGTCGGACAGACGCTTGGTCCGACGGAATTTTCTTCCATTGGACGGATGTTGATTTCTGTGTAGATGACTACTTATAGGTCGATGGAAATCTAGATATTTTATGACAAAATGTTAAATACAAAAGTTGTACAGCCGTATGCAACATCCTCTTTTAACTTAAATTACTTAAGAACATACCAGATGAATTTGTTAAGACACAAGTAAAAACCTCACACAATGAATGAACCGGCAAAAAAAATCATCGATAAAATATTTCTAAATTTAAATCAGCATTTCAAAGGAAAAAAAAAAACAGACAAATTAAATATGACACATGCATTTATGTGTTTTGCTTAAGGCTATACATCGTATATTATTGTTGTTAGTAAATTATCGCCCCTTGATAGATGGCCGCGATTAATTTATACAAGTCACGCATAAGCCTTATCGCAATTATTTTTAATTTTTTCAACCTAATTTTATTATTTTCAACGGAAAAATTTACGTTCACAACTAGGTCTGTTAAGTTAAAATATGTTTTCAATTTTCACTCCAAATACCTACATTATTTGGTAGTTACTTACCTACCTAAATTCTCTGTTGGTTCTACTTCAAGGCAAATGGGCAAAATGATGCGTACCGATGTCAATGGTATAAGACCCAGAAAGTCAACGGGCAACAATTGGACTCTAGATTCGCCTAGGACCAAAAAATTGCCCATTTTCAAAATGGGCGAAAACGATTTTGCTGTTAATTTGCCTCACGAAAATTTAAGGTAAGAACTTTCCAAAAAAAAAAGTTTCGATGTGCCACACAACCTAATATATTCACTTTACAGTAAAATTCAAATTCACACTGATTTTTTAGCTACTATTCACAAGTACCCAGCGCACCAAAGGTCACCACTTCGTTCAATGAAACCGCTCCAGAAGTCAAAAAGACAATTTCCAACCAACTGAGAAAGTACTGCGAGAATACCACTTTGCACGGTCTAAGATATGTTGGTGATACTCAACTTTCATTTGGTGAAAGGTATAGAACACAATCCTAATCAATCTAGCAACACTACAAGCCAAATCTATTGATTGTTTTAAACATATTGTTCTAGAATATTCTGGTTGATCTCCTTCTCCGTAGCAATAGGCTTCGCAACATATTACATAACAAACATCTACGACAAATGGAAATCGAGTCCTGTAATCATAAGTTTCAGCCCTTTCGATGGCGACATAAGCAAAATACCATTCCCTGCAATAACTATTTGCAATATGAATCAGGCCAAGAGAAGCGAAGCTGAAAAAATCCTTCGAGAAGGGTAAAAACCAATACCATAATCACCAATAATTTTTTTTAAAAATTGCCCTATAATAGATCTAACGTGGACAAAAAACTACTAGATGACGCTTGTAACGGTAATGCCAGCTTCGACCAAACCGAAAAAATTTCCTGGGAAGCTCTCAGGAACTTTTTAGTCAGAGTAAGTCCAGCTTCAAATCAGCAAAATTCAACATTGGAAATTTCCAGACTGGAAATTCGTGCTCGGATATGTTGATATCGTGCCAATGGGGCGACGATAAAGTCGATTGCGATGATGCGTTCAACAACGATTTAACTGACGAAGGCCTGTGTTGCTCCTTCAATCGATTACCACCTGAAAAGATTTTCAGGAGCATGTAAGATAAAATTGTGTAATGAAATTATGAGACAAAATAATGTTTCAGGAAAGATATAAGCATTTTGAATCAGACTTATCCGAGCAACGTGTACGATTGGCACGCTGAAAAAGGGTTTCAGGATACTGATTACGGGGATTATATTCCGCGGAGACCTTTGGGTAAACGATTTTTTTTTAGTGTTTATTGGTCAAAAATACAAAGGTGTCTATTTTGATACTATTTTTCAGGTGCCGGAGCTCACTTGGGGCTATCCATAATCCTGGACGCTCAGATTAATAATTATTATTGTTCCTCGACTCGAAGTGTTGGGTTTAAGGTATGTTATCAATAATTTTTATTACAGATCAATGGGCTCTTTCACTATAATTTCTGAAATTAGAGTCACAAGTGGCAACAGCGCAATTAAAGCTTAAAGCCAGCGAGCTGTTCATGCTTTGTCGATGAAGTAGTCTTGTCGCCTTGTTAAAAAAATCAGATCTCGATCACCAAAGTAGCATTTCGCGCACTAGATACAAAAATAACTATTTTTGGGTAGAAGGGGCCAAAATAAAGCGAAAATACCTCTTGGCATTTTTTCGTTTGAGACCTCCTAAGCTCGAAAAAAATTCGAGAACGAAATTCCAAAATTTGGAATTTACCAACTTGACATGGCCCCACTAAATCAGCTATAACTCTGGAACAACTGGATCGATTTGAATGAATAAACTTTCATTCGAAATAAAATTGAATTACTTACAAAATGACTCTATTTTTAATATCAATAATTACTACCCTTCCAGAGTTATTGAGCCTCAAAGTTGAAATTTTACCTAAAATTTTAAAAAAGCTTCAAACTCAAATAACTCAAAAACAGTAAGTCGTAGAGGAAAAACTCGAATAGCAATTTTGTAGTATACATTGAAAGCTACAATTTTGATAGTTTTTCTCTACGACTCATAATTTTCAAGTTATGGCTGTTTAAAATTTCAAAATCCAAAAAGCATGGACCAAACCCTAATGAAAAATTCCCTCAAAAAATCGAAATGGAAATTTGCAAATTTTTCTTAAATTACATTATAAAAGGAATCTCAACGATCCCATAAATCGATTTTTTTTTTAAATTTTCCCTAAGAAATATACTTTTTTCACTAAATTTGAAAAATTGAGGAAATTTCAACTTTGAAGTAGTTTGAAGGCTCATAACTTGAAGACGGGATAAATCTGGATGAAGTCATTTTGTAGGTAATTCAATCTTCTATCGAATGAAACATAATTCATTGAAATCGGTCCGGGAGTTTCAGAGTTATGGCAGATTTAATAGGAACATGTCAGGCTGGAAAAGCCTTCATCCCTATGGATTTTCTTTTTAATTTTTTTCTAGGCTAAGGAGACGCCCTACGGGAAAATGCCAAATAGCTTTTCTGTTTGTTTTAACCCCCTTTATTTGATGGAATTTTTGTTTTTCCAAAATTCGGAAAATTTCCGTTACGGAGCTATAGCCGGTTAAAGTTGCAATTTTCGTCATTTTCAGAATTTCCTGTGTTGTAGGTGATAGGGCCAAAAACCAAAGTCAAAATTTCGAAATTTCAAAATAGCCATTTTGTAGAGGGGATCTCAAAAAGTCCCGGAACCAACTTTTTTCTCTGAGTTTTCCGATTTTCCAGTTTTCTTTAAATTAAATGCGGCCTTTTGAAAATTTTTCAGGAGAAAGAGAAAAGTGAGGAGTTCATTAAAATAAAAATTTCAAAATTTTCCAGTAAAAATCATTCCAGGAAAAATTTAGGGAAATTAACTTTTTAAGCAAAATTTAGAAAAATTCACCCTCTTACATCTTTAATATTTTTCTGGAAAACTGACAAAGAGAAAATTGTGGAATTTTTACAAGAGAAAGAAGAAAGTGAGGTGTTCATTATAGGAAAATTTCAAAATTTTCCAGATAAAAATCACTCCAGGAAAAATTCTGGAAAATTGAGCTATTTAAGCAAAATTAAAAAAAATTTACTCTCTTACATTTTAATTTTTTTCTGGAAAACTGAGAAAGGGAAAATTTTGGAATTTTTCCAGGAAAAAGAGGAAGGCGAGGAGTTCATTTTAATGAAATTTCAAAATTTTCCAATGAAAAATCACTACAGGAAAAATTCTGGAAAATTGACTTGTTTAAGCAAAATTAAGGAAAATTCACCCTCTTACATTTTAATTTTTTTCTGAAAAACTGAGAAAGGGAAAATTTTGAAATTTTTCCAGGAGAAGGAGGATAGTGAAAATTTCAAAATTTTCCAGTGAAAAATCACTCCAGGAGAAATTCTGGAAAATTGACTTTAATTACATATAATGTAGTTGGAATAATTATCATGCCCATTTCTAATGGCGTCATTTTTTTTATCTATCTTTGTTTGGTACATTTCAAACAACGGAGACAACAAATTTTTTTGAAAAAAGTAGGGATGTCTGAGCATTGTTCGTTTTATAAAAGTAATCATCCTTTAATATTTTTCTGCTACTGTCAAGTGTCAATCAGTTATAAATTACTAAAGTGTGCTTTTTTTTTAAAGATAAAAGTCAAAAAGACATTATGTTGGCAATACAATGTAAAATTGTCAAGCTTTCAAATTTTTTATGTAGAAAAGGCTTGTGTTGCCAACATAGTTACTAAATTTCTGACTTGGAGAATTATCTTAAAAAAAAAACAGACTTTACGTACGGGTTTTCTCAGCTGCGTCCAAATGAGAAAAGATATCCTGTCTCTGTCTGTTCAATTTGTATTTGCATAATACCGACAAAGATAGAGCAATCGATCTCAGACTTCAAATTATTTGACTGTCAAGAAAATTCAAATTGCGTTATCTATCTTACTTCGTTTGACAGCTTTGTAACAATTGCGTCAGATGTGACATTATAATAATTTTCAAAATTCGAAGGGTGAATCTGTTTATGGGAGTTTTTAAGCGATTGGCCACTCGGTAACGTTGACAGATGAACAACGCATTTTTCGTCATTCAAGACTAATTGGTTGACAAATGACGTTTACTTCATTGTTTATCTGTCAAGTCAAGACATGGTCACAATATTGTCAGTGTTGGGAGAGAATCTTGGAAGTAGTTTATTCCGCTTTACAGTTTTTCTGGTGTAGATTTTCATGTTAGGTTTATAAGTGAGGGGGGTTTGCCTAGTTATATTTCTCTTTCCTATGTACTTTTCTTTGGATTCATGTAGCTTTTGATTCAATTTTTTGTAGATAGTCTCCGTTTTTTCACTGTGTTGCTGGGTATAATTATTTGTAAGTGTTTTCCTGACGTCAACGTCAAACGAATCCTACGCATAGAGATCCTACGCATCCCGTCATTGAATGGATAGAACCAGGATAGAACTATCCGAGTAGTGCATATGGCATTTGTTCTTTAACGCTGATTTTTTTATTTTCGCGAAGTATCCTCAGGTGTTCGATAATTGTGGAGTGGAATCTTTCTATCATCCCGTTGGATTTTGGGTTATCAGGGGTAGTATAATGGATAGATATCTTATGTGTATCTACAATTTCCTGTATAAGTCCATTTCCAAAATCTGTTCCACTATCGGTGACTACTATGTGTGCTTTTCCATGATGAGTAATAAAGTTTAGGAGGGCATTAAGAATATTCACTGAATTTGATCCCTCTATGGGGTAGGCTTGTCCATATTTTGAGAAAGAATCAATAATTGTTAAAAACTTTTCCCCTCCGATTTGAAAGGTATCTACACCATTTCCAAATCCAAGAGGCAGTAAGTGACATTTGAATAACCTAAATTGTGAACAAACACCGGCCTTCCTATTGGCTGAAATACCTTACCTGGACTAGTGCGCATGCACAGAGGACATTTGATAGGTTGTAATGAAATCACCAGTTTGTCATTTACTGCCGCTTGGATTTGGTTCAACCATAGATGAATAATTTCCAAACGTCTAGTCGGTGTTGGAGTACCTAGTCATGAATTTAGGTTTAGCTGGATTCCTATCGTATTTGTTCGACTGACAGGTGTCGCAAACATTTATGATATTTTCAATATCTCGTTTGAGGTTAGGCCAGTAATATTTCTTTCGGATTTGCGCTTCGGCTTCGTCAATTCCTCGATGATATGTTTTTCCTTGATGATAGGCCTGCGGCTTGAATTATTCGACTTTGTCTTTCTTTGCTATTGACATCTTCTAGGAGAGAGTTGCATTTGATAAAGTCGAATTGTCCTTGGAGGCCTTTTAAAACGTTATCTATTACCCTTTGGAAAGTGGCTGGAGCATTTTGTGGGCCGAAAGGCATCCGGACATACTCGTAACGGCCATTATCAACATTGAAAGCAGTTTCGCATATATCTTCCTTAGCTATTTCGATCTAGTGGAAACCACTTGCCAGATCCAAGGTCGTGAAGTACTGGCATCTACCAAAGTTTGTACAAATTGTCTGTTATGTTTGAAATTGGGTATTTATTGTCGATAGTTTTCTCTTACTTTCCTATAGTCCACTACTATCCGCCATTTTATTTTTCTGGCGGCGTCTGGTTTTTTTGGAACTATCCCATATCAAATGTCTCGTGAAAATTGAATAGGTATAAAAGGTAAAAATTTGCCTTCTCATTTGAGTTGAATTCTGGAAATATGGGTGAAATTTATCACCTTTCAGTGTTATTTGATAGGGAAAGGTGATAAATTTTCCTTTACCTTTGGACTACGGATTGTGAATAGGATATACTGGAGACAGTCGAGACTCCGGTCAATGTCAAAGTTTTTACAGTACAAAACAACACCATATACTGGACACATGACAATATTGACTTACTATGATTAAACCTCTTGACACGTGACAGAGTTTCCAAAGCTAACCACGATGAAAAGATGTTGCTTTTCTACCTTTGAACAAACTTTTATAACAGAATTTTTAGAGCCACCTATGGCGTAGAATTAGTAGCGATTTCTGAACAATTTTCCCGCCTGGGAAACATTTAACTTGCATACTCATTTACATTATTCTGAATAACTAATAAAGAGAAACCCGAACAAATTTTGAAGTAGAGAGAGGAAAATTAGGCACTAGCCGACGTCACACACATAACCTCACTTCCGTTGGGGGGACAAACAAAGCATTTGAAAGGGCGCTAGCTTGTCATCAATGACATAACTGGACTTTCGATAGGGGGACAAACATGTCATTGAGGTTATGTGTGTAACGTCAGCTAGCACCTAAAAACTTGCAAAGTTGTGAGCAGTGTTGCCAGAGAGCAAAAATTTTTTTTATCAAAATTAAAGACAAATTATACCAGATTACGTAATAATGTACCAGCCTATAATAGGGTGGGGGGTGACCATACTTTTTTGTCAAATGTCACTTTAGAAATAACATTCCAAGACCTACTGGATTGGAACCCGAGTGAAGTTGGCTACAGAGCAGTGTTGCCAACTTAAAAAAAAATTATAAATTCCCTAAAAAGTTGTTTTTTACTGATTTTTTTTTGCGTTCTTAATTTTAGCATTTAAAGCTGAAAATTTTTGGCTGAAAATGAAGGAAATTCAAAGCCTCATACTTTAAAGTGGTTTTCCCGGCCTGGAAAAGCGGAAAATCCGAAGAAAAACCTCTGAAAAGGACATTTCAAAGCCTACTTGATGAAATTCGAGTTTTTGTTACTTACCCTATTAGAAAACTAAAAATTTTTGGCACAAAATAAAGGAAACTCAAAGCCTCGTACTTTAAACCAGTTTTTCCGTTTTAAAACGGAAATTTCAAGAAAAAACCTGGATAAAAACACTCAATTGTTAACTGTCCAAATTGGCAAATGAAATTTATTACAAGGTTTGCATGGGCCGAGTTCGTTTTTGTCATCTTTTTCGTCGATTTTCTCCGAAATTTTGACAGGCACGTGATTTGTAAACTGAAACTGTCTCATCCAGTCACGTGCCTGTCAAAATTTCGGAGCAAATCGATGAAAAAGATGACAAAAACGAACTCAGCCCTAAGTGAAGTTAGGTACAAACGATGTTGCCACATCAAAACTTCCAGAAAAAGCATTTAAATAGGATTTTCCTAACATTTAAAACTATAAATTTGTGCTAGAAAATGAAGAAAACTCAAAGCCTCGTACTTAATATCGGTTTTCCCGACCGAAAAAGCCCTGGAAAAGCGGGGAATTCAAAGAAAAACCTCTGAAAAGGACATTCCAAAGCCTACTTGATGAAACTTAAGTTTTAGTCACTTAACCCAATTGGGAAACTAGAAATTTTTGGTACAAAATGGAAAAAACTTAAAGCCTCATATTTAAAATAGGTTTTCCTAATTGAAGAAACTTTGGAAAAGCGGAAATTCCAAAGAAAAACCTCTAGAAAGAACATTCCAGCACCTACTTGATGAGACTTGAGTTTTTGTCACTCACCCTATTGGAAAACTGGAAATTTTTTGCACAAAATGAAAAAAACTCAAAGCCTCGTACTTTAAACTAGTTTTTTCGACTTAAAACACCCTGGAAAAATGGAAAATCCGAGAAAAAACTGGATAAAAACTTAAACATGTCACTGCAAAATGGCCGACTAAAAGCGACGTTGCCGCATGACATCAATGACATTTTAAATGGTTTAATTTAATTAAAACCTGTTGAATAATTAAATAATAACGATTATAAAACAATAAATTTTCCAAATAAGGTCTTGGAAACTTGTTTTTTAGTTTAATTTTAGTGAAAAATTTTTTAATTGTTAATTATATATGAGTAAGACAAAGACAACAATAAAGTAGTATACGTTTGCAAAAACCTCAAATGGGTGAGATGAAGTAGGATGCTATTTAATAACGCAAAATTATCAAATTGATAAAAAAAGTACTATTAATATTAAACTGGTAAGGGCCGAAATCCCTTACTCCGGAACTAAAGGCCCGCCCACACAGCGCTGGTTTATGTGGATAAGCTTAGATACTCTAATAGACAAGAAATTAGACTGTACGCAGTAGGCTCTTTGGCTCTTTGAGAATTTGGAAAAAAAAATAAATTGAAAATTGTACCAAATATACCAACGTCGTACCAGCGTACTTTTTCAAAGTGAATGGTACCAAATTTGGTACAATTGTACCACCTCTGGCAACACTGGTTGTGAGGCAAAATGTTTGTCGAAGAAAAAAATCTGATTATAAAATGCCCATCGCAACGGCTTAAATTGTGAAAAAAGTAGAGGATTCAATTATTATTGAGATGGGTAATTGAAAAAATTAATTTGAGTTTTTATGCGGAAAGTTTCTGTAGCTCAATTTATTTCATTATCCAAATACTCTCTTCTTTTATAAGCAATTTTTAGCTGAGGGCTCACATTCTTATAGTTTAGAAAATTATGTGTGATTCACTTTTCTTATTATTCTTCTATTTCCAAAGCATTTAGAACATGTCTTTGAAGGCAAAAAGTCTAATATTACCGTTTTCAGGTAATGTTATCAAATCCCATCGAAACTCCCAAAATGGCAGACTTTGGATTTTTAATTAGTCCAGGATTTGAGAATAGAATAACAGTGCAACCGGTTGTTAGGGAAGCTACAGCTACTTTAAGAGACATAGCGATTGAAAAAAGACAGTGCTATTTTTCAAATGAACGTCCCTTGCAATATTATAGGTGAGGCCTAAAACAACTTTGCATTGAATTTTCTATAATAATTTTTTCCCCTTAGAACATACACTACAAGAAATTGCAATTTGGAATGTCAATCCAACTATACATTGCAAATGTGCGAATGCATTCCCTATCATTTACCAAGTTAGTTTTTTTTCTAAAAATAATTCGTAATTGATATTTTTGCCGTTTTAGAAAGCAGGCAAATAAAATATTGTGGAAAAACTGAAAAAGATTGCGTTGATCAGGCGAAAATTGATATGGAGACAGTGGTTGGGAATGGGTAAAAACTTTTATAAATTATTTGTTTGGTGTTTATTGCAAGATATTATTATTTAGTTCTAGCTGTAATTGTCTGCCTTCTTGTTATTCAATTGAATACAACAACCATAAGTCTTTTGCTAGATTATCCAGACGTATAAATGGCGATTTTACTGCTATAACTTCCAAGTATTTTGTGTAAGAATTATTTAAAATTAATGGATTATTATAATAAAACAAACTTTTTAGGGATAATATGGCAATTGTTCAAGTATTTTTTTCAAGTTCCAAGTTTACCAAAGAATTTAAAAGCGAATTGTATGGATTCACCGAAATATTATGTAAACTTATTCGATTATTTGGCCCAACTTGAGATGAAAATATTTACTTTTTTAGCTAACGTCGGTGGATTATTGAGCCTCTGTTTAGGATTCAGCTTTTTGAGCTTGATAGAGCTATTTTACTTTGTAACTTTGAGAGTCGTGTGCGATATTGCCCAACATACGAGGAAAGTTATTAAAAAACAGAAAGAATCAAATGTTATACCGTTTTTGAAATAAAATATATTGTGCTACTAGTATAAAATGTTAGTTTTCATCATTGTTAGGTACCTACTATCGAAATAAAATCCCAGAAACAGATTATTTAAGCAATATTTTTTCAAATTCTACTTTTGGGTGACATCTATACCGAACATTTTTAATTATTACTCCAACTATTGATCAATGAAACGTAGAAAGTTTGTAAATGTTCCACTCAATAATGCCCGATAACGATTTTGTGGTCGAGCAAAACAATCTTCCGTCCTTTTTGTGCTGATAGTGACTTTAAATTTATCAAAAAGAACTGATTCAGTATAAGGTTTTGCTCATTACTTTGTCATTTTTCAAAGAAAACTCAAACCATCTTTCCAGATTACCGCGAAGATAAAAAGCAATAAATTAAGGCCCGATCCACGTGTTATTATAAGAATAATATTAATAACAAAAGGGCGCATTGTGAAAGGGCAACAATAAAAAAAAACTACCCTTCTCGCCCATGGGGGGGACGCCGCGGGGCGCAGTGACACGCAACATCTGCTGGCCTGTATATGGTCCGCAAATTAATGTAATATTTTTTCTTCAAACGTAATAATAAAAAATCATGGAATTAATTTGTCATGGAAAGAAAGGGCAGGTTCGAGACAGACGGTTCTCTTTTTTAATTTTTAGTCAGCGCGCCTTTTGGCTTTCTTGTTTCGTTATTTGTTCCTCAAAAGGAAGGTGTCCCATGGTGAGCATAATTGGGAAATTGTTTAATGGTGCATTTGTTAGGTATATTATTTCACATTTTTGATGAAGTGTGTACCAGTGTACCAGATATTTTCTTTGAGTTGTAAGAAGTAATACTCAAAAGACAAAAACTGAAAAAATACTCTCCTTAGAGCTTACGAAACAGCTACCTATCATATCATTTTTCTGAAAATGATATACAGTGTGTCCCAATTTAGATCCTCACCGTTGAGATTTAGGATTTCGGTCATTATAAGAGATAATAAGTTTCAGAGAATTTCATAGATACTGATTATCGTCGAATTCAATTTTTGTTCATTTCTCAGAATTTATCGATTTGACATCTGTCAGACTTTGACATTATTAGGACACATTTTTGAGAAGAATTTTTTGATAATGTTTGAAATCATCGATATTCTTTTGTTTTCATAATACTAGAAGCAACCTAATTTTTTCTTATACCCGCCATTTTGAATAGTTATTTTTGTATCTAGTGCGCGAAATGCCATTTAAATATCGATCATTCGAAGCCAAAATTGCATTTTCAATCAAAGTTAATTGAATTTTAATTATTTTTGGTTTCCTGACAGGTATGTGTCACCATGACACCAGTGTGCGAACTAGCTATTTCGCGCACTAGTGCGCGAAATAGCTAGTTCGCGCACGGCGTCATGGGAACGTTAAAAAATAAATACCTGGGAAAAAAAGTGTCACTTCGCAAACTGTCATGAGTGTGCGAACATCATCATTTTTTGACAGTTGTAGAAAAAAATATTTGTAAGCAACAAGAGAAGAAATAATTTATAACTAAGAGATATGGATAAACGTAAACAAATGTATCAAATCATTATCTACTACTAAAAAAAAAACATCTCCAAGACTCCAACTAAACTTATCTAAATTGTTCGATGTGCATTTCATCCTGTTCAAGACATTTCATTATTTTCTGGGGTTTCAAACTCATAAATCTCGTTCTGCGAGGCTCCCCATAAGTAAAAGTCCAGAGGCGTGATGTCTGAGCCAAAAAACTAGACTGCCATTAGAAATTATTCGGTCTTCCAAATGTTGCCCAAGAATTCGCTGAATCTCTCTAGTATTATGGGCAGGACAATCATTTTGCTTGAACTATATTCCTCTAAATTGGTTTTCGGGATACACACTATACAGTTCTTAAGGCTGGTATAATTTGATTGTTCAGCTTCTCAGCATACCGGATCCATGGAAGATGAAGGGGCCAAGAAGATTTCCATTTATTTGTGATAATAAGATTCAGTTTCATTAAAAAAAAAAGATGAATTAGGATGATGAACCTACTTATCAACCCGCACACGAGTTTCATCTGTCCACAAAATTTTTCTTTTAAAGACCGGATCTTCTCGACATTTGTCGAAAAACCATTGGCAAAACTGGGGCTAAACATTTTGATTGAGTGTTTGCACAATCGTTGACTTTTATGGATGATAGTAATTTTCTCTAACAATTCAGTGAACAATTTATTTTGGAATTCCAGTTTCTCGATCTACTCTCCTGACTGATGTTTCTGGATTATTTTCGACCGCGCGTAAAACGGTAATTCTTCGCTCCTGGTGTATCCGATATTTCTCTCTTTTTTTCTCAAAACTGTCATAGTTTAGTGAATTTTGCAAAATGTTAGTGAAAATTGTTCGGTTAGGCTACTTTCGCTCAGGAAAATGATCGAAATACAAGTCAGTAGCAGCTTGAGTAGGTATTTCTGTTTGATTTGAAATAAAATTCGATCATATCAACCTAATTGTTATTTAATGCAAGTACCTACTTTTTTTGGAACTATCAAAATTTCGCAAACAGTTACACATCATTCGAATGATCTTTCTAGGTAGGTACTATCATATGACAGAAATTCTAAATGGTGAACATAAGAAAAAAGAAACTTATAGCATTATGGAACGAAAAGAGTATTTTTTATTTCAAACATTATTAAAAGATTTCTTTTGCAAATGCCGCAATGCGTAGTATGGAAATAGAGGACAAGATTCGTAATATTTTATTTTCTATAAATGCTAACACGTAGGTACTATCCTCCGTGTTTGTGATGCTGAAGAAGGTGCCAACAATATATTGAACACAGGATGGGTCAACAATTTGGATAAGTTCAGTTGTTGACGATATTCTTTTCTGGGTAGTAGATAATTTCTAATGGATTTGTTTACGTTTATCCGTATCTCTTAGTAATAAATGACTTATTATAGTTCCCTACAAATATTTTTCTTATTTTAATGATAGGATGTTTTTGTTCTCGGGTTATGTCATTCTGTTATATTGTCATGTTTTTCCTTCCTCATAAGTGTATTCCTCTGAAAGTCTTTTCTTTTCTATGGAAAAAGTACATACAACGTTGTCGGATTTTGAGTTATTCTTGTGAAAAAGATTTTAATAGATTAATAGGATATTTCCGTGAAATATCAAAATTTTTTCAACATGTTATACATCAACTAAAAGACCTTTTCAAGTACTATCGTACAATCGGCCAAAATAGCGGCTATGTCAAACGGCAGACGTCAAATCAATAGTTTTTGAGATATGAACAAAAATTAAGTTCGACGATAATCAGTTTTTTATTACGCATGCATCATAATCAACGATTATCGCACGCTGCAGCGTGCATAAAATGATGTTTATGATACGTCTACCTTTTCAAAAGTTTGCTATAGAAACGTTCCATCTACCTTCATTACCTAGATATTTACCTGCATACCTGCCATTCAAATTACTACTTATCAAAATGAATGAACACTTTTAAAACATTTATGAGATTATGATGCATTCGTAATAAAAAATAGCGTATGATATGCGTGTATAAGAGGGCATTTAAAGCCCTTGCGACTTACAAAACACTCCGCTGCGCGTCGTTTTTTGAAATATGTCGCGCGTGCTTTAAATGCCCTCTTATACACTTATATCATAATATACTATTATTCAATTAATTCAAAAACAAATAATTTTCCCTGAAATTCGAAAGCAGATTTTGAATCAGCATGAAATTCTCTAAAACTTATCCAATTCAACTGACTGTCTATCTCTTATATTAACCGAAATCTGAGGTGAGGATCTAAATTGGAACTCACTGCATAAAATAATTATACAGGGTGTCCCAGCCGAGAGTGACCCATTTTAAATGATTATAACTTTTAAACCAGGTGTGCTAGCTACCTGCGGTTTGCGCCATTCGATTTCTCTTGGTCTAAAGTTTTTTCTAGTAGGTTCCAAATTTTTTTGAAACTTTTACAGGGCGAGTAAAAAAATATCCGTTTTTCAACATCGAAATTCTCCACTATTTCTAATGGAACACCCTGTATATCACAACGTCAATAAAAAGATTCATGTTAAGGGTATCCATGTACCAATAGACATCGTCCCTTAAACTTGAAGTTTTAGCCGAAATAAAATCAAAATCGAAATCTTGGTATTTTTGCAAACGCATCAACTTCATGTCGTAGGAACTTGATATCACTATGGCAAACAATTTTGTAACTGTCTAGCTAGATATCAATTAAGTTAAAATACATTTTCCAAGAAAATTTAACGAATTCCAAAGTATTTTCTCTGGAACTCATTAAATAGAAATACCCCAACAGTGACAGTTTGGTGTGCAATCTCTATTGAGCAAAAATACAGACCATTTTCATTGATGAACCAACAATAACACAAAACTGTATACACTGATATGTTCTTTTTCCCACAGTTAAGTCAAGAGGTTATCTTGGATGATATCTATTTTCAGCAGGATGGTGCCCTCACTGCATTATTCGTTAATAGCAAGGGAATCACTAGCTGTGACATTTGGGGAAAGACGGATGAGAGCTGGTCCTATAGAATGAACACTTTACTCTCTTGACTTGAGAGTTTTAGACTTTTTTCCCTGGGGTTATGTCAAGGAAAGACGCGGTAATACTTTCCTCAAATAGCCTGGAAGATCTCAAGTGGAATTTGCAATGTCATTGAAGCGATTCTCCCACAATTCATTCAACCATTTACTGATCCATAAATGCCTGGAACAAAATGGCTAACATATACATATAGGTACCCACAGCATTTTGTATAGTTTTATACAGTTTCAAGCTTTGAAAATATGCGTTTGCAAAAATACCAAGATTTCGATTTTGATTTTTCACGGCTAAATATTCAAGTTTCAGGGACGATGTCTATTGATACATGAATACCTTAAACATGAATCTTTTTTTTGACGTTGTGATATACAGGGTGTTCCATTAGAAATAGTGGAGAATTTCAATGTTGAAAAACGGATTTTT